GTTTCTATTATCTATTGTTCCAGAGTTTTGTTTACAAGAATGTGCTAAAAGACAGAAGCGTGTTGCCTCCTGACGCCTCTTTGACAACATCCTGCATACCACACTTCTTGTTGGCAGCCAGCTCGCGCACAAATACTTCTTCATTCAAACAATCCCTGCCTAAAATGTGCATATCTACGTTTTAAGTTTCCAACGGCGCGAAACAAGTTTCACCATCGTGGAGACATTGTGTTTTCTACATGAGGCGCAAACTTGGCACAATGGTGTTTGTCTGCATGAATAAGGTGTGTCTGTGAGTCAGTTCTGTGTACACTAAGAATGATCAATTTGAATGGCTCTTCTGCTTTTAGGCATACCTGTCCAGAGACGAGGCCCAGGCCATGATCGCCCGCATCCTGGCTGAGAAGGACACCCTGAGGTCCCAGCTGGTGGAGCTGCAGGAAAAGGTCTTCAGCCTCCAGGCGACGCGCAGCTCCAAACAACAACGGCAGAGCTCGGATGTAATTTTGCACACACGTGTCAGCGTGCACACAAACACAACGCATACAGAAAGGTTTTTTGTTCATTGCTTGCTTTGTGTCGGTGGAAAAGGAGGCGGAGGTCGCCTGGGAGAGCCCGAGATCCAGCTGTGAAGAATTCCAAGGTCCAGCTAGACGCAGACTCTGCCGCAGTAATGCAGTTAATCCCTTGTCACTGAGTCCCAGCAGTTCAGAGGTGAGTAAGTGTGCGAGATTAGCCTTAACGGCTGGGCAGTGAGCAATGCTTTCAACAAGCTTAACAATGAATGCTTGGTCACATATTTCTAGATCTAAATCATCACTTTAATTTATTGTATTTCCTTGTAAATCTAAATCTGGCAAAAGTTGTCTGTATTATCAACAAATACCATGAGATGTTGTTAATCTTGCCAGAAAGTACCGTCTGTGTCGTCAAAGCATGACATTGTTCATTCTCCTGAATGTCCCAAAGCTGTTATTCCAACATTCATGATTTACGATTTTGCCGCAGTTAACTTTCGTCTCGGTTACATCACTTTCTTTTTTTACAGTATCGATTTTAAATTTGTATTTGCACACATGTGTAGTGTGAAGATGTCGCAGCAAGTAGCGTCCGATCCCGAAACGCTGAGCCGCCAAGCCCAGAGTCCATCCGGCGGAGGAAGGAAGCTTTATACGCAGACAGCAGGTGTGTCTGTGTTTACGTACTGTCTGTGTCACTGTAGGCATAGCTTATATTTGGATTCTTTAATATAATACACGTCATTCCCACCAACTGACAAGGATGTGGGGCAGCATTTTAACAGACTCCCAGAAGGAAGGATGAATTTAAGGTGTCACGACCTCTGCATTCCTCTCTGCTGCTGTAAGGTTTCAGGTGGATTATTGATTTACAGCAACAAGAGGGACTAAACTATATGTCACCTGATTCCAAAAAAAGACGCAAATGAGTGCGTTCAAGTGTAAAACATACAAAGCAGAAATCTGCAAGCAGGAGGAGCCTGACGAATCCTATTTAAAGCACGCCGTGAATAGACTCTGCAGGTTTTTCTACAGACTCAGATTCCTCCATTATTGTGTTAAAGCTTCAGGCAACTTTTGTGATTCTATATGTGCTGACAGAAGTCATTACAACCTGTAACCGGAAAACCAGCCTGCGTTGTGGCATGACATGATAGTTACCTCACATCCTCATGAAAGTCTGACATACTTAATGCTATTATTGAGTGTGCACATATCTGTAAGTGCAGGAAAGAGAAACACACGAGCTGAATCTGTGAGTGGCGTTTGTGTAAGTGTTTCTGTTTTCTCCTGTAGCTTGGAGGCAGCAGAGGCTGATTATCTACTGGATGACTTTGTGTTCCTGCCCAGTGGTACGTATAGAAAACATGAGCTCACTTTAAAGGAGTGTTGGTGTTTCTGTGCAGAGCGAGCAGTGCTTTGCTGATGTTTAGCTGGGTCCTCGTTAGCTTTTATACACTGCTGGATGTTTTCCAAGACTGTAAAGTGACACATTAACCCTGGCATATTATTTCCTGGGAAACAACCCTGATGCCAGATCATTAAACAGCTTCTCTTTTGTTTAGTGGGCAGTGAAGACAAACAGACACCCAGGCTTTCCTCTTCTTGTGGCTCCAGCTCGTACGGGTGAGACAATCCACCAGACGAACATCAACACAAATCAACAGCTTTCTGTGACGATGCATTTTTGAGATGTGGAACAGATGCCAGTTTACATGACTTTGCGCATTCTGTAAACTGAAGGGCATTCATATGCTTAAGGTCAGTCATGCAGTGAATGTAATGCAGGTTAACACAGAGGATGGAAGGAGATACAGGAGGCTGGTAATCAATAATCCGCAGCTGGTTAATTGGACACAACATCCCTGCCCGTTAGCCATGTATTAACTTAGATTTAACAATCATTGGTGATATAGGATAAACTATAAGAGCACATGCAGGTTAATCAGAAAGTGGGTCACTTTTAATATACCAGCATGCAGATGTTAAAATACTGACTCCAATAACACCTAGTTCTCTTTGCAATAACACAGTGATAATTCTATTATTTATTAAGCGTATACTTATATTCTTATTTTCCTAGTACAATATACATTTACACAATTTATGCTTATGCTTTTCTACTTATGTCTACATTTTGAGGACATATTTTTCGACTCATGTTTCTCTTGTATTTTTTCTGCTGCTTGAATTTCTAAAACTTTTAAAGGGAACAACTGTAAAAAAAGCCATTTCCCCTCAAGATCAATAAATCATTTCTGATTCTGATTTAAAGAAAAACTCCTGTAGCAAAAAATGGCCTCTTTTTAACTCCATGCTCACAGATGTTTTCTTTCATCTTGCAGTCTGCAGCCCCAGCTAGTGCCAGTTTTTTTTTTTTATGGCGATTATAGCTTGTTTTTTTTTTTACTCAACTTAGATGTCAGGTTGAGGAATTCATACTGCGCTGAGTTTTATCTCCCAACAGTACAATGTGCTCAGCCACCCCAGTCAGCTGGTTGACCTCAGCCCAACAGAACATCTGTCGTTCTTGCAAATGTAAACGTGGCTGCAATGTTGTTCTGGCAGCGCATCACCAGCAAGATGCCAAGTGTCCACTAATATCTGTGGGTCACTGACTTTAGAAAATGTGTAGAATTTGTGGATACATATTCAATATGGCTTTATTTAGAATGACGTGAATTTTCTAATGACATTTGTGCTGTGAGGTGTGAATGGACACAGCTGCAACATGTAGGCGTTTACTGCTAATGTTACCAAGCTGAGCCCCATCGGAGCAATTAGTTTTAGCAATTGTTGCTGACGGGAATGTGATTCTTTTTGCAGATATTTAACTGATTAACGGAATTATTGGGCAAATTTAAAGGGTGACCTTTTGGAAACAAAAATTACACGACACTTCCTCAAATCTCATCGTGAGTCATCGAATGCTTGCAGAGAAATTTCCCTCTGAACCAAAGATTGTGACCTGCTGGTGAGAAATTAGGAAAAAAGTAATAATAATCAGCACTTTGAGATAATTATCTTCTGGGGAATATGAATGTCTAATTTCACGGCAGTCTGTAAAGTGTTTGTTGAAATATCTGGATCAAAACTGACGCTGTTATCTAATTTAAAGACCTCAAACTAAAGATGAGATTCAACATCTTAAGCTCATAAACACTGTCTTAGTTATAAGGTTTCTTTTTTTTAATCAGACAATGAGTATTTTTAGATAGAAGCTGTTTTTACCATGACATGTTTCACTTCAGTCTTTCTCAGAAACATCATGTTATCAGCTGGTGGTCTCCTGGAGTCGTGGCCCATCGAGCAAATCTGACAGATTGCCCGCCAGGAAAACCACCAACGAAAAAAAAAACGGAAAAAAACACGTCAACAAAGACGCCAAGGAAGACTCAAAGGAAAACCGAAACAACACAAGAAACAAACAAAGCCAAAAAAAAAAACAATCAAAAAAAGACTAAAAAACAAACTAAAAAAGAAAATCAGAGTGGACAAAATGAACCGAATCACGCGAACACTGTCTTAGTTCAGAGCCATCACCACTAAAATGTTATTCCCCTAACTGTATATTCTGTATAATATAAGCTTGATAGTTTTCAGTTTTTAGTGTGAAGGAACATTTTTCCTTTTTACAAAAACTAAAATCCTGTTTTCCTACAAGTAATCCAAGTGTTTACTGAAGCATTGAGTAAATCCATCCTTCTCGTCTCTCGTCTCTCCAGCCTGCCAAGAACCTTAGCCCCTCCCTTCCTGGTGCGTTCTCGTCCAAAAGCGATTCGAGTCAACGGCCGAGTTCTGAGCATCTCCTTCCAGGGCGGAGAACTGCTCAGCCAGCTGGCAGTGGTGGGGGGCAATAAGACCGGAGTGTTTGTGCACCAGGTGACTGAGGGGAGCGGCGCCCATACTGTGGGCATCAGCCCAGGGGCTCAGATAGTGGAGGTGGGTGCAGGAAAACAGTCATTTTTATCATTCTGCCTGTTGTGAAGGTGTTTCTCAACATACTGCCTTTCTGCAGGTGAAATACGAGCAGAACCACAAAGCTCTGAAGATGGTGCTGGAGGACTCCACGTTAGAGGAAGCCATGTGGGCTCTCGGCCAGGTCACAGGTATCTGCCACCTGTCCCTCCGGCCCAGACAAGACGGTACGTACCACAGCATGTACATGAAAAACTTTTATAAACTCTATACAGGCAAGATATTAGCGTCATCATAAACAACTGCCACACCATTTTAGAGAGTATGTGACATCCCACTCTGAAACGTTTCTCCTGTTTTAGAGCCAAAATGATCCACCAGCTTCTTTCTTCTTCTTGATAACAGATTCTACTCAAACAGCCAAATCAGTTTACTGCTGCTGCAAACACGCACATAAACACATGCAGCGTTATACGGCCGTGCTGTGTCATACTTTGTGTTTGTCCCACAGACTATATCTGGGTCTTAGCTGGAAAATAAAAGTTTATGGTTTTAGCTGATATGAAACCTCCAGGAAGCACATTGTTATTCTGGAGATTAAAACGACGGCGAGCTGCCACGTGAGGAAACTCCTAGTTTCTCATATTGTGAGACGAGGAAACAACAATAGAATATAATGTTGATGAGCTTGCTTTGTTTGTGAGGCGGTCTCTGTTTGCAGAATGCAAAGAATGCAGCTTCAGTATAAAACTGTCAGACTGAAGAAAAAGAAAATAAAGATAATTAAAGCGATGGTAACCTGGTTAAAAACAAAACAAAGCTGTGCACATTTAAAATCATACATGGGAGTTTGTTTTTCAAAAAAATTCAGCCCCTTCCTCAGTTTTTAAACCCTGAAGTCAGCTGTTAGTGGTTGCTTCTGTAGAGAAGCTAGTAATATAGTTCTATTACCATTTTGTCGGAAGTGGGTGAGGCTGTCTGGCATTACATAGCGAGGATATAGTATTGTAAAATAGACAATGCAGTATCTAACTTCCCTATGATTAAGGGATTAAAGGGATTAAATACTGCTCAGGTTATTCTTGTACATGTAAATAAGACACATGCAGTTATTGGGTAAGGTGGGCTAAGTACTGAGTACCAACAGGTGAACTTTAAACAGTCCATGATCTGCTTTTTGGGTCGTTCTCTTTCCTTTAGTGTGTAAAAGTTTGGTGTCCATTAAAAAAACATGTCTGCAAACTTACAAAAGGCAATGTTATTCTCTGTGACAAAAAACCATCGCTCCTTACCAGCCTGAAATGCTTCTGTTGAAGTCCAGGCTTTGCTCGCTCTTACTACACATTGGCCACATCGTCAAACAGAGAGCAGCCATTATTTCCTCACTGAAGCCACTTCTGCTCAGGGTTCAGCCCTGTGCTCAGAGGTCTGAGGTTGAGCGTGAGAAGAGATGCTGCAACAACATACAGTGTGAGAAAAATAATGTGTTTTGATGTTATGACACATGTTGGGAATTTAAATAATTTATCATCATGGAGCTCATTAAAGCTCACAGAAGACTTTGTCATGGTGCCCCTTTATTAGCAAATCCCCCACAATGCTCTCTGCTTGCTAACGGAGAGTCACCACCTCCTCTGGTTGCTACAGGAAAAAAAAAAACAAAGCTCCACCTGGTGGCACAATTAGGTACTACAGTTAATCTACAATACCTGATGTAGAACCTGACTGCAACCGCTAAAGTCACAGTGCACAGCCACTAATAAAAGCTCGTCAACATTGTGTGTATTCAGTGTTTTAGTTTCAGTATTCCACAGTGTTGTTACAGTGGGTTTACTGTCCTTTTCTTCAGACTATGAAGCTCTGCTGCAGCAGCTGCAGAGAAACGAAACATCTTCTGGAGATTCCTTCTACGTTCGCGTCAACATGTCTCTCCCCGCTGGTCCTGGAGGAACCCTGGCCGTGTCCTGCAACGACATCCTGCACGTGACGAACACTCGACCTGCAGGCACAGAGGACACGTGGTACGCCAGCCAGGTCCACCCCTGTCAGCTGCTGGACCTCCAGAGTGGAACTGTTCCCAATTATTACAGGTTGGTGCACTGAGGAGGGATGTCAGAGCCGCTTCTTGTTATCCTTGGATGACACGTGTACGTAGGCTCTGTTATTCCTTGTCAAAGTGGGTAACCAGCATCGCTCTGCCATCAAACACAAGTCTTTTTCAGAGCAGCAGGGGCCTATTGGCTCATTTGGTTATTGTACAGCACTACTAGTGTTGAATTTGCAGCTTTGATTCCCCAATTGCACTATTTACTGTTTCTCCCACATTGCAGTTATGTTAGTTTTTTCCTGCCTCACTGATAAAGGTGTTAGCGCCCTGAGTGCATGTATGCTAACGGGGTGGACAAAATATTAGAAATGCTTATAAATGTTTAGTACAGTAGCACCGCTCACTACGACCTCAGTGACATCAAAATCATCACTTTTTTTTTATTTTACAATATTAACAAAAACTAAAACCAGAAGCTTTGTAAAAGTGGAATTCATTACAAAGACATTGGATTGGATTGCATTAAAATTTCACAGATATACTTTACAAAGTTGGAGGGGATTGTATAAGAAATATGATGCGGATTTGTTGTGTATTCATGACTGCTTTTAAACCAATTCAGAAAAGCTGTTCAACTCCCGATAAAGCAAAAACAAACTGAAATGCTCACTAACGGATTTTCCACTGTCACAGAGCACAGCGACTCCTGATTCGAGCCATTGAAGACATGAGCTTCCAAACAAAGAAGTGTCAAAAGGTGAAAATAACGTTAGGTTACTACCGCTCAGCATCCTGATCCAGACTGTCGGCGTGCTAACTCACTCCTGGGAATGTTCCTCATCAGGTGTTTCGTGCGGTGACTCAGAATAAACAGAAGGCCGTGAGGATTGTCAGCACCGGGCGTCTGGGCAGGAACCCACTGTGGGTCAGCGTGGAGGGCGAGAAGAACAAGAGTTTAGATTCAGGTACAGAACAGTCTGCTTCACTGCTGTAACATAGAAAATGTTGACCCTGACTGACGGTGTATGTTCCTCTCCCTGCAGGCGCTGCGTCTGCACCCAAAGGTTGTGTTACCCTGATGCCCTACACCCTGGTCACCCCCCACTATCCACCCGTCTGCAGACCCGTCCTGCTGCTGCCCACCGTCCTCGGACGCATCCTGGACAAGAAGCTGGCAGGCTGGCAGGGCTTCCAGCTGTGTGAGCCGGGTAAGAAACACTGCATTGTTATATGTTGACATTAAACCGTTTCAATTCAGCACACGCTAGAGTAGACAATGTTTTAGATGGAAAGCAAGGATGCACTTTCCTGAGCAGACAGATAAGCCTGTCAGACTTTACATATCGTGTTTTATTGGTGAGATTGCTTTTGTGTCTCTTCCTCTGTGTCCGATGTCATGTTGTAATGTAAGTATGTTTTGCCAGCTCAGTAAACAACCAGTCTGGTACTGTACCATGCTGAATATTTTATGGGTCTTTCTGTTGCTGCAGACCAGGAAGGAAACAAACTTTGTAAATAAACAGCGATAGAAACGACGGAGGCTATAAAGGATAAATGTGTCCCCTCATGTGATAAGGTGACATAAAAGTTTAATGACCTTTAGGGAAAGTTTATTCATTACAACAACAAATACTATTTAGGGGGGAAAAAAACATAGGATCCAGAAGAAAACCAAATACTGCACAGCACAACATCACGTGGAGCTTAATCTCTTTTCTGCTCTTCAGAGGTGCTGAGCTCCAGCGAACACGCCGCCCGGCTGCAGAGGTCCGAGATCCTGGAGGAGTGTGAGCAGGAAGGACACTGCTGCTACACCCTGCAGGGCGTCGAGAAAGTCATGAAGAAGGTCAGAACGTTCAGCTGAACACTGGGGCTTGTGTTTGGTTGCTATCAGTGAAGGATGGAGAGTCACAAAGCTGAGAATGATCCATGAAAGAGGCTTTTAGGTTGTGGCCAGCTAAAGAAAGATGACCCCAGCTTTCCCTTGAGTCTCACACATGCATGTGCAGAGATTATTTTTGTACCAACATTCAAACTTCCAAAGACTTTACTTTTCACGCCATCATCAGTTTAAAGCTGCATTTGATTTTACCATCACAACATCATGATGATGCTTTAACCCTCTGAACTCTCAGCAGAGTATTTTGTACTCCTGTCATATTTTTAGTGGCCTCATTTCTTTACTCCAATATAAAGTCGTGCACCTTTATGGAAACAGAACAACCGTGACTAGAAGTAGAGAGAATAAAAACATGTCTTCTGTGCACTTTGACGCAGCTATGATGCCATATGTGATACCAAAGACACAACAAAAGCTGTGTTTCTTTGATTATTTTTTTTCCACAAAGTTGAGAAGAATGTGTCCACATTTTTTTGTGGTGTCTCTACATGCGATAGAGATTTTACTATTTTCTTTTCTTCTGTCTCCTCTCTGCTTTGTGTAAACACAGCCTGCAGTTCAGACGAATAGCTCTGAATGTTTATCATGTGATTGTGGGTTGTCACTGGGCCAGTCAAGGCTTTAGATAGATAGATTAGATTAGATTAGATTAGATAGATCAAACCTTTACTGATCCTGCAGCGGGGAAATGTGAAGTGTTACAGCAGCAGAAGAGAAAATAACACACAGTACAGGGGGAAGAAAAGAGCAGCACATTTCTCATTTGTGCCAAAGAATATTTTTTTCTAATTCGTGCAAGCAGTATATGTTTTTAGGGGGGAAAAAAAAATTGTAAAATAAAGGGTTTTAAAGAAAATAGTACAATTTAAAGCTTAGATTTGGTTATTTTTGCTAATTTAAGTCACACATGACGACTTAAAAGTATGTTGTGAAGTTTAAAATCTGACGACTTTTTCTATTTTTACTATTTCTGGCTCTGATACTTGCTGTCATTTTGGCAGTTTTTTTTTAAAGACAACATGCTTTTCAGTCCTGCCAGGATTCAGTAGGTTAAAATCTATTTCTGTTTATAGTAACGCTCTAAAACTGAGCTCACTTAAAAACCTTTTTAACCCGTTTTCCCTTTTCCCTCCTCTGCACCCTGCAGGGCATCCACTGTGTGCTGCCGCTAGGCCTCGACTGTGTGCGTCGGCTGCACCGCTCTCAGATCTTCCCCATCATCATCTACATCGGCCAGACTGCACGTAGCGCACGTAAACTGAGGTAAATCCTTTATCTTTTCACAAAACACATCCAGAGCTGCACCTCATGACTCTGATATCATGTTTATATAATCACCAGTGCAGGAATGTGTGCTCAGGTGAAACCGGTGACTTCACTGATATCTGACACATAAATGTGTAATTAGATTGACTTGATTGTTAATTTTTCACTTGTTTGTTGCGTAACAGGTACTTCTGCTGTTGCGCCTTTGCACTGATAGAAGCTGTTCTCTAACCAGATTCACTATTCAGGCTATATTTAGGTCAGAGTCAGGATACTTTATTGATCCCTGAGAGGAAAACATTGGTCGTTGGTCCTTCAGTCCCATTCTCATGTCGCTTAAAGGGAATTTCTTTAACTTTGGAACAAATATTCTCTCTGACTCAGTAACGAACTGCTTAGATTTACGGATCAAAGGTTGCCAAAACGGATAATTCAAAATGCAAAAGAGGGATGGAGACAAAGAATTTCATTGCACTGATAACTTATTATTGCTGCTTTATGACATTAAAGCCTTTGAATGAAACTGCTGCGCCTGTAAAACATGCACTGACATGAGGGCACGTTGTCCACATTTTGACAATCTACAACCAAAACACCAACAAAGACAAAGTGTAGTCCACCCTCTGTGTTGTCGTTTATTGACATTATTCCTCTGTAACTTCCAGGTCGAAGCTGCAGCGCCACGGTCAGTCGGAGGACCAGCTGCTGACGTGTTCGAGGAGCGAGGAGCCGCTGCTGGACAAGCTGCCATGTTTGTACCACAACGTGGCTCCGGACTCGTGGTGCGATCAGACGTCGCTGCTGACCAGCCTGCGCACCGTCATCTGGGAGGAGCAGAAGGAGATCGTGTGGGTGGAGCCCGACCTGTGGTGAAGCTGAGCACAGAGCAGAGCACAGTCCAACAACAAATAACAGGAATCATGATTCCTATGAGGGCTTTTTTTTTGTATATGAGGGTGTATTAATAGGATATATAAGCTTTACAAGAAGTCTATTTGTAAACATGAGTATGTATCTATGATACTTTATAGTGTGTATGCAGACATATGGTTATTTACTGTACCTAGAAACATTTTCTACATCTTGTGTTGCCTCCCTGTTTGAGGTGTTTGTTTAAAATATTTGTATAGTGTCCTCTAAAGACACGTTTTTTTATTAAATGTACTCTAATGGGTTGAATGTTCTGTTTTCTACAATATGTTGTAGATCATTTCCCACTATGAGGGATCCTCTTTTCATTCCCGACGTCTGTAATGAACAGTTCAGGACTTTTACCGCATAAAAGGAAGTTTTAAAATGATATGATTTCACTAAACAAACTACATTAATACTCAAGTGTATTATGCATTTGTTTGGTCAGAAGTAACAGAAGGATGCACAGGTTTCTGTCAGATAAGGTCACATTACCTTTACTGCTGTCATGAAAAAAGGAGTTTAGTCTTTAGTCATTTGCTTATTTTAATTTATAGGAGACAGGTGGGATTATATTTGTATTTATTAGTTTAAAGAATTAAAATTTTCACATCGTGGGCCAAAATGTGATTTGCAAAAGGGACGCCTGAAAGTCTCTCGTCTTCCTGAATATCATCTCAGGTTGTTTTGGTCCAAGAGTGCTTTCCAAAACGTCATCACACATATCAGCCACGATGTCCGTTCTTCCCAGGATTTTAAAAATGAAATACGGCTGGTTGGTACTACAAACGGTCTGAATCCTGTAAGTGGTTTGCACGACAGATGTTACCATAATTCTGCTCCTCTTCTGTTCTTCTGCCTCTTCTGGGACTGCCAGGCCTCTAAAACATTCATTCTGTACAACGTTACGGTCGTAAACGTCACATCTCTCTGAATTTCTGTGAAGTTTCTCATAAATATAATAAAAATGGAGCAATATTTGGTTGGTTTTTATCCACAAGTTTGACTTTATAAGCTCAGTTTCACTCCTTTGCTATCTGTAATCTGATTGAATCTACATTTTTCAATGTTTAGAATTACTGTAAAGCTCATAAAAAAACATGTTCTATTCATTTTATATGATTTCAATACAGACATTTCTATATTTAATTTTAAGCGTGTTGCAGAGCTTGATAACAGAAGACTTCACTGACATTTTTTGGCTTAAAATAAGGAGTTTAATGGATTTTTTTTTAAATGAGGAATGAACAGAATATTAGCAAATCTCCCAGCATCCACTGCTTTATGGATAAAACACTCCAGAAAACCTTATTTTTGTAGTTTTAAGACGACACAACACACGCTGTTTGTCTTTAAACACAAATAGTTTACGTGTCTCTATTAGGAAATGATATATTAAATTCACTTTTAATATAAACACACAGTTTAATTTCCACACACTTTCAGAAAAATGCATTCAAAAGATCATATACGTGTTATTCTAACTGCACGCTCCATCTGAGTGAACTGACAGAACCTTCACAGGCCAAACTACGCTGGAGGTTTGAAACTCCTGCCAGAGCTTCAGTTTAAACTTCCTGTTGGACGTCCGGGAGGCAGAGTAGAATATGTTCAACGCTGTTTCTTCCCACAGAGGAGAGAATAAGACCGGAGGAGCAGAAACAGAGCGACGGGCTGAAACTCTCCAAGAGGATCAGAAACCACAAGAGGCTGAAGTCTTTGTTAGAACATGTAGAAGAGGAGAGGCCTGAGAGCAGAAACCCAAGTCTATGTCTAAAAAAGAGGCAAAAAACCACAACTTTTCCTGAGTTTAAGCAAAGCAAAACTACTGCCAAAGACCTCTACATGAAAATATACATCTATATTGGCAAAATAAACATTTCTATTGTGAGTTTGTAAAATATTAAACAGACATGTAGAAATAGGACAACTTATATGGATATTTATTTGGCAAATTGTTGGAATTAAAATTTTCATTCAATATATTTAAGTCAAAATTCTTATAAAGGACATTAGAAAAACCTATATTGGCTGTTCACATGTTGTATGCAGAATTCTGTTCAGTTGTTTTAAGAATATTAAGACTTTATTTGTGTAAACAGGGTATTTATTTCTGCAAATAAGCACATACGTTCAAGCACAGAGGTTACTTAAACACAATAAACTTCTTCATTCTTAACGTTCTGCCTTTTATTTGCCTTCTTTTATTCCGTGCGAAGTTCATTATTTCTCATCCAGGTTGAATCAATTAGAGGCTTTAATTAGGTCAGTCAGCTCCGACGCATGCGCAGTTAGGACGAGCCTCGTCTAATTAAGAGCTGCGTCACCGCCAAAATGGAGGAATTTGACGAAAGTTGTTAAAGCGGCTTTTAAAACAGTTCATATTGAGTTTATTCAGACGCTGTGTCACCTGGAGCACAGCAGACCGAACAGGTGAGTGTCCTGGTGACTTAATTAGGTTTTGTTCGGTGACGTTAAAGCAGTAAGACAACAGGTTCTGTTTGATATGGACACAAAAAAAATAAAACCATGAAGAGGTTTGTTCTGGAGTCTTATCAAGGACTCTATGGCTGCTTATGTGTGTCAATGTTATATGGACTATAAACTGTAAAATAAATAACGTTGAAATGTGGCAGCAAAACAACAACACACATTTAAAAGGATGGAATACTGTAACCTTTAAAATCTATATTTAAAAAAAATCTTACAATAACTGCAAATATCTGTTAATTAATTAGACATGTAGTTGATTTAATACAGTAAAATAATGTACATTTATAGTCAGACAGTGTAAAATAATTAAATTCTATCTGTAAAACTTTTGGACGTGGACATTAGATTAGTTTTGTCGGTTTTCAGTCAGTCAACATGGAAATTATTAAAATTTCTTTTATAGATATGATCTGTAACTTAACAAAACAGGGAATCACTGTAAAATTATTTAAAATATATATATTTATAAAGCATCTTTGGTCCTTAAAATACAGAGTTTTCTTCCAAATAACTGCAAATATTTGTAAACTACCGGTTCTAGCTGACCTGTACAGATTTTTAACGTGGACATATTTAAAGTTTTGGCCTGTTTTTTTCTTTTCTTTTCTTTTCTTTTCTTTATGGTTAACATGTTCATGACTTTTTCTTTTCTGTGTGTTTGTTTTATTTCTGTCTTTTACTTTTTGCCCTGACCAGCCCATAACACATGAAGATCAACACTTATTAATCCTCTAAATTATTGCAGATGTTGTATTAATTTATTATCTGTATGTCGTCGGTTGCTGCTGTCTTGCTTTAAATATTTAGAATTTCATCACACACCTGTCGTCCAATCAGATTTGAGGCCACGCCCACTCACCTGCCAACAAAACAGCTGATTTTGCAGCATGGCTCAGCCTAAAGCTCCAGAACAAGATGGCCGCCACAGCTCTGACAGGTGATGTTTGCTGAAACTTAGCAGGCTGTCGGCTCAAATCTAGCAAGTTTATCTGACAGAAGAAGTTCAATCCTGTCTGTAGCTGCTGGAGATGTGAGATTTAAGTTAACAGAAGAACAAGACGCCGTGTGGGTTAGCTTCACCTTTAAAGGCGTGTCGTCGGGGAGGAAGATGGTTTCTTAACAACCAACTCCATGGAAAATGTGCTTTAAATCAACAAATTAAGTGAGAAGTAGGTTAAATTTCTTTACACAATCTGACTTGTTCTTGCACCCAGAGGAGACTCCCCCTGCTGGCTGATAGACAGAATGCAGGTTTAAGGCTTTTTCTTGTTTGCTTCCTGCAAGATAACTTCTGGATGCAAACTAGCTGCTGTTTGCAAAATGATGTTAATGTGACAATAATACAAACTGTCCACACTTTCCTCTGCTTCTGTCTGGTGAGGTTTGTGTTTGGTGTTCTTTGCTATTGCATCAGTTAGTGCTGCCTGATATTGTACAAAACTGATATTGTGATATTTTGCTTTTCTGTGGATATATACAGCAACATGGCTTAATTAACTTTTGTTTGTGGTGGCAAAAGCTGCAGCAATTAATGTATTAATCAGTAGCTATTATGATAATTTGATTGGTTTGAGTGATTTATTTATTTATTTTTAAATAAAAGAGGCTAAATTCTCTCATTTTAGCTTCTTGAATTTGAATGTTTTCAGTTTTTATTCCTTTTCTGTGACAGTCGATTGAATGTCTTTGAGTTGTGGACAAAACGAGACATTCGAGGACGCCATCTTAGTTTTAGGGAATTACTGATGGACATTTTAATATTGATTAATATTTTATTGATTGACCAGTCACTTCATTGAGGAAATAATTGTCAGATTAATCAACAGCGAATGTAATCATTAGTGGCGGCTTTGTGATGCTGATTTAAACAGTAAAACAAACCAGTTGTTGCCTTGTGTGGTGGAAACAAGACCTGTTTATGGTCAACGTTATTCTTTTTGTAGCTGATTCTGATCTGATTCGTTTTTTTTCTCTCCTGTTCTTTGCCCATTTTGCTGCTGCACATGTGGAACCTGCATTCCAGCAAACTCTGTTTCTCTTAAAGTTTATAAAGTACTAAATGATAACGAGAACTGGGCAAAGAAAAATACAGCATGTAACGCCGCCCTGATGTCGGTGTTTCCATGTAGAGATGAAGGTGACGATCAACGTGCTGGAGCTGTTCATTAGTTTGTTGCTTAATAGTTTTAATTTATTTGGTTATTTTAGAACCTGCTGTTTGTGTTTAGTTTGAATAGGGCAGCTCAATTTGTTCGTATGTAGATTTTTACTTTTGTTTATTTTGATTAGTTAGTATTGATAGTGTTTCTTTTGTTTGTTTGTTTTAAGAGTAGGACAACACTATGGACGTGTTTCTGTTTTTAGGTATTTACCAGAGTTTACTGTCGACAGGTTTCTTTGTTCCTTTTGTTTGTTCACTTGCTCTGGAACAATAATCCCGTGTTGCATCAGTGGATTTTTGATTATGAAATTGGATTTATTTATTTTTTGACAAAAAGCCTCTGAACTGGCCCAGACAATTCCAAAATGCTTCCAAGCAGCTAACAAACCTGTTTTTGTTTTTTTAATCAGATGTGTCGTCTTATTAGAAGAACGTCATTTTTTCTTCACCATCATTCATCGTATTTGTGGTTTTGTTTTTTTGTTTATGAGGGTCTGGTGTGAATGCTCCCATTTTGGAAGAAACATGTTCAGGATCCAATGCCTTCTGTGGGTTTCGTTGCAGTGGAAGATATTGATAATCTGATCAATCATTTATCATCTTCTGCTCGTCTCTTCCTCTCATACAGGATGTTTTTTAAGGATTCTTCCAAAGAGGCGTCTTTCTGACTTGGTGAGTTTACAATTTATTCAACACACCAATCATCTGATCAATCATTTATCACAACCACACACACACACACACACACACACACACACACACACACACGTACTTTGAGTCTGACTCGATTCCCTCCTACTCATTTCATGTTTTTAGTGTTTAACATTATTAGTTTTTAATTTAAATCCAATCAGTGGTGGTGAGGGACTGATTTTGGGTTTCAGTCTGGGCCAATATTTCTTTTTAATTGTTAATGACTAAAGGAAAATATCTAATTGCAGTTTTCCTGACAGATAAGGCGATTCAGTTTTCTATTTATGACTCAAGATTTTGTTTATTTAAAACATGTGATGGAGCCTCACAGCAGGAGACGGCATGTGAAACCTCTGATACGACAGTTTAAACTTTAGCTCAGCCGTGTTGCATAACGTTTAGTCTAAGTTTTCTTATTTTCTAGTTGCTTAATTGTTCCCCAAGCGGGAACAATGAATCAGTTACTGTCCCATGAAGCCACGACCGTGAACCAGCACACACAGAAGCTAGGATTATATTATATAGCTCATTAATGCAGCTTCCATTAACACATTGGTGCTTTTTCTGCTATGAAATGCTTTGAATCTGGCAAGACTGATATGTTTTCTATAATCCAGGGTTGTGACTTTGGCCTTTTTGGGTGTGACGACACA